CTCGCTCTCCTGGCTGCGCCCGCCGTCCTCGCTCGCACAGCCGAGTCCGCCTCGGCCTCGCAGCCCGAAGCGGAGCACCAGCTTCCGCCTAGCCTGGGAAATGCCACCCGGCTGGGACCCGGCGTGACGGGCGGGGGCGGCTCCAACAGCAGCGGCGACGCCGTGGTGACCCGTATCTCCAGCCTGCTTCGCGACCTGCCCACCCTGAAGGCGGCGGTGATCGTGGCGTGCGCCTTCAGCGCGCTGCTCATCGCCTGCCTGCTGCTGCGCGTCTTCAGGTGGGTCGCGTCACCCCGCGCCTTGCTCAGCTGGCTCGGCGGGCGCTGTCGCCATGCTGCTCTCCCCGCGCGCCGGCCCCACCTGCGCGCACAGGTGCTCGGTCTTGGCGCGCTCCCGCCAGACGCGCATCGTTCTGCTCTCCTTGCGAGGGTGGGAGCCGGAGGGCGGGCACGTGTATTTGGTCCTTCCAGGTACACATTTCTGGAGCCATTTCCCCCTTGAAGGCTGTTCGGTGTGTCCCAGGTCCTAGATTCCATTGCTTTACTCTACTCAACAGTTTACACTCTGAGTTTCGGCCACCTTCCGCGGAATTTATTTTTATGCCCTCTTTACAGACAAGGTAACATTCAAAGAGGGGTAACTTACACAGGTGGAGGGACAATTTGGAGTAGGGTTCTGCTAACGTGAACCTCGCTCCTGTTCTCCCCCTGCCATTTGCAGCTCTTTCCCCCACTCCACCCCGTCGTCTCACCCGCTAGTCCCCTCTTTTCACCTACAGAAAAAGGGAGAGAAAGCGACGCCCGAGGAACCTGGGGACACCTGCTATGCACCTGATTTGATAATAGGCTTCAGGAGGTTTGGTGACCCTCGACAGCTGCGGTGACTTTCCACTGCTGAGCTTCTAGACTGAGCTGTCCCAGTGCACACTTACAGGGGCCTGAGAAGACCTCAGGGAGGTTTTGTAGGTTGTTCAAGGACAAGGAGAAAGTGTCCAGGAAATTCAGAGTATCCCTGGAATAGTGAGGCAGGCGGGTTCACAGGAGAGGTCAGTTGGCCATTTCTCTGGAATGCTAGGGAAATCCTGGTTTGTAGGAAAAAAGCCAAATACATCCTGTTATTCCCACCAACCAGCCAGGAAATTGTGTGTGTGTGTGGTGTGGTTTCTGACCCTCTGTCCCATACTGTTTTGATGAACTAACAAAGACAGGGCAAGGGGCCTGTACCTTTGGAGAACATCTATGGGGCAAGAGCAGCAATTAGACCCGGGGAAGTCAGGGTTAGGAACTATGTGCAGACAGGTGCTGTCAGTTTTGACGCTAAGTCTAGGCATTTCCTTTGGGGCCCATATGATGAAATGCCGGTCCTCTGAGAACAGAGAAGAGGGTCTGTGGTCCCGTGTTCCCTTACCACTTCCTGCTTTGACTCACCCCAACTTTCCCACTTCCCTCATTCTTGTTGATGAACCTCACTGGATCTTTGTAGCCACAGCCTAGGCATAGAATTACCTATGTGAGGTGTTTGGGCCCTTATACACCGGCCCAGTTCACCTTGCCTCTCTTAACCAGTTCTTCTGAGTCTTGTTTTTATCTCTTGCTTTTTCCTTTTATACCCATGGCCCTGGCTTGTGTTTTTCTATCCCTGGTTGGATTTATCTTCTGCGTCTTCCAAGACCGCATGCTGGACCCTGAGTGGTTTTCGTGGACAGCTGAATGGGGCCGTTGCTTTCTTATCTGGCCTGCCCAGCCCTAACCTTGTGTCTCGCCACTACACCCTTTATCTCACCATGCTGCATTGCCCAGTTCGCATGCACAGCGAAGAGTCCTCAAGGGTGAGATGCCCAGTTCGTCTTAGTGTTTCTGTGCAGAAGGAGGGGCTGGCGTTCAGCTGAGGCAGCGACGTCTTTTACTGATTTCCTCACTGTTCCCTTGGAGTCCGCGAACGTCTAGAGCAAGCAGCTCTGCGCCTGGAGGTCTGAAGCATTTAGCTCAAAATAGTCCCAGCCCACACAGCTGTGTACTTTTAAAAGAAGGCATTTGAACTATTTTGCCAGTCTGCTCTCTATTACCCAAGAGTGGGGAGAGAAGACAAGGCATCGTGTGGCCAGATGTGTGTGTTGGCGGGGGGCAGGGCTATGAGTTTAAGTAGGAAGTGTGGCACTCAGGCCTGGAAGGGAGAGTCCTTGGCTTGGGTGTGGAAGGAAGGAGACCACTTCAGAAGATAAACGGCTTCTTGTTATGATCAGTATCCTCTTCCTGGGAAGGCAGGCTTGTTAGTTGAGTCTCCAGGCAGAGAACTGCCAATCAGGATTCTGATGGAGATTGGATCCGTGGCGCTTTTACAGCAGGGAAGAAGGGCCTTGATGGTGCCCAGTCCTCTAGCGTTCTCTTGGAGATGGTGCTCCTCGGAGTGTGGGACAAGTATTGGGTTTCAGAACACCCCATGGTTCTCTCTGGCTGAAGGCGGGGCTGCGCCTCGACTCTGCTGTGGGATGCGCTGTTCTGTGACTGTGGTCTATAGCCATGCTCCCCTGTGGACTGGATTAACTGAGCTTCCAGAGCAACTGGGCTGCTCAGCTGGGTTAGGGGTCTTTTGTACCTGCTTCTTTTCCATTACTTAGCTGTCGGCCCTGAGTCCTGGTCTTCCAATCACCCAGAATTCCCAAGGCCATTTTGTTCCTGTTTAAACGTTGCCTGGTGAAGTGGTCCCACTCGCCACCGCATTCACCTGGGCTGCGCCTTCCGCTTCTCTCCTGGGTCACAGTGATGTTCTTTAGGCTGGGGATCCTGGCTGACCCCTGTTGCTCCGCACTGCATGCTCCCTCTTCTGCTGGAGTGAGGGTCTCATTCTTTGATTCTCTCAATCGCCTACATCAAATTCTTGGACCTGTGGGCAAGGCCGTCTCTTCATGATTGGCGTTGTATCTTGTTCTTGAGTCTTTATATAAGTTCTGCCCAGTGCTCCTCTGCCCTTAGCTGTGCTGGACTCCAAGGGCTCTCTAGTGGCATCATATGGTTCTCTCTCTCTCTCTCTCTCTCTCTCTCTCTCTCTCTCTCTCTCTCGGATCGGCTTTTCCAATTCTATAAGGCCCCGGTTTTTCCTTTGCTATCCAATCTGGTAACCATTAGCCACCTGTGGTTATGGAGACCCAGAAACATAACTTTCTGAACTGAGAGGTGCTGTGATAATGAGATACACCTGGAATTTATTAAGGGACGCTTGACTTTTCCTAAGTCTTTGAAGTAATGGTATTTTCTTTCAAATTATACAATTTCGATGTATGAGTTAAATATATTAAAATTAGGGCTGGGGATGCCATTCAGTGGCACATGTTCTCTCTCTCTCTCTCTCTCTCTCTCACACACACACACACACACACACACACACACACACACTTGTACGTGAGTACAAGCAAGCCTGCATACATGCACACGTATCTGACAGATTTAACTGTGTCTTTAGGTTTCTGTTTCTTTTTGGAACCTAGAAAGTTGGTCTCAAGATCAAGCAATTCTTCTGTCTTAATTAGAATTTCTGCTGTTGCGACAAAACACCATGACCATAGAGCAAGTTGGGGAAGAAAGGGTTTATTTGGCTTCTACTTCAGCATTGCTGTTCATCACTGAAGGAAGCTGGGACAAGGACTCAAACAGATCAGGATCCCGGAGGCAGGAGCTGATGCAGAGGCCATGGAGGAGTGCTGCTTACTGGCTTCCCCTGGCTTACTCAGCCACTTTCTTAGAGAACCATGGTCTGGCCCCCCTCTCACTGATCAGTAAAGGAGAAAATGCCTCACAGAGGGATCTCATGGAGGCATTTCCTCAACCGAGTCTCCTTCCTCTTCGACGACTCTAGCTTGTGTCAAATTGACACCCAAAGCCAGCCAATATACCTCCTGTCTCAGCCTCCCAAGTGCTAAGATTTCGGGCACGAGCCACCATGCTCGACTCTAGTTTCTCATGTGTTGCGGAAGGCTCTGGTTGTGTAAAATGTACCACGAACTCAGAAAGTTAGGGAAAAATACTGTGTTGGTTTTTCACGCTGCTGCATCAAAAATCCTGATAAAAATGGGGTCTGAGCACAAACTGTGGATCTGAGCTCACGGTTTCAGAGGTATCTGGGCCCCAGTGCTGTGGACCTGCGGTGAGGCAGGCCATCATAACCAGGAGGTCAGGGTGGAGAACAGATGCTCACTTACTGGTCTCTGGAAAAGAGAGAGATTGGCTGGATATGTGTCCCACTCTGCCTTTCGCTGGGATCCCCTGGGATGCCAAGTCTGTTCAACTAGCTCATTGTTGACTGTCTTGTCTTTTCACTTGGGAAGACTCCTTGGTCAGGCCTCCTTCACTCAAGCTCCCCAAACCCACTTGAGTTTTGAATTTCCTGTCCCTCTGCAATACCAGGCTGCCGACTGCCAAGGGCAGGGCTTCCGTGACTCCCTAGCACCTAGAGTCATTCCAAGAATAGGCTGGCATTTAATAAAGATATTTTTAGCAAAAGAATGTTGACCTCCCAAGTATTTTACATTGTTGACGACTCTCCAAGTGTCCCCTGTGACTATTTGCATGGCCAATATGGGATGCCTATGGGATAGGGGGTTTGGGTGGTACCTGTTCATTGTCCTAGCCATGCAGAAAAACTGGGGAAGAGAGTGTGGTAGCTTTGCTTTTAAATTAGTGCTCTGTCTTCCTATTTGTCTTCCCTGATGGAGTCACCTTGCTAGACAACAGAAAATACTTGGATCCAAGTTTAGTAGAAGGGAAGATCCATGTGAAAGCCAGGAACTTTTAGTTAGGTAGCTGCTCCGCTGGCGTCCACATGTTTTTCACTTTGATGTTCTTATTCTGATGCTAACGATCAGGAGAAGATGAAATGCACGCATGTTGGGATTCTCAGAGCAGTTCTGTCTCATAGTGAAACATTTTAAATAACTTACGTAGAGGTGAGTGTGGTGGTGGACACCTGTAATTTCAATATTGAGGAGGTAGAGGCAGGAGGATCATGAGTTGGAAGCCAACTGGGACACAGTGTGGCCTTGCTGAAACAAAACCCGAAAACCAAGACATATCCAGCAAATGACACTGTTTAAAAGAATATGGTAGTCTGTGACGACTTAATACTGAGTGTCAACTTGACAGACTTCAGAACCGTCCAGAGGATGAACCTTTAGATCTGTGATGGAGCTCCTAGATAGGGTTTGTTGAGGTGAGTGGATACACCTTAAATATGGTCAGCCCTGTGGCCTGGGCTGGGGTGCTATGGAGTGAAAGGGGAGACTGAG